ATAGTCTCAAATTGTGGCATTTGTTTTGGTTTAAAATTGTACTTTAGCTGTAACCATCGAAAAAAGGCAATAGATGCTAAATAATTGTAGAGTCTGTGTTGGTAATCTAGACTTAATAATATAATAAGAAATAATTGTTTAAGTCTAGATTCACTTTTTCAGTCAGAACTATATGCAAGCATGTCTGATCAGTGCTGTTTTTAAGTGCATTTAAAGATGTTCAATCTTTTGTCAATATAAAAAATACACAAAAACACTTGTAATTTATTTGGGTTACTTTGCTATGTAAAAATAGCAGAGAGTGTAGTCCAGGGGTCAGCAACCTTTAACACCCAAAGAGCCATTTGGAGCCGGTTTCCATGCAAACAAAAACGCTGGGAGCCGCAAATACTTTTTGACATCTAAAATGAAGATAACACTGTATATATTGTTTTTTACCTTTATGCTTTGTGTGAACAACTAAGGTGTGTTGCTTATGAAATCCATGAAGTGCTACAGAGAAAGTTACATTTTATTTATGTAATTAACACATTTTTAAATCTTAAAGAAATATAACAAAAGGAAAGACACCCAGCTGAACTAAAATGATCCAGCAAACAAAAGATGCTGTGAGCCACCACCCTTATATCACCTTTGGGATTTTGGAGCCTTGACCTGAAAAAAAGCACTATGCTGCTAAAAATGAAAAATAGATATTTGCAAAATTCTGTCTAAATGTGTATTTTACCAGGTTAAGGTGTGTGGCGGGGCGTGGTCTGCAGCGCCGCTGCAGGGGAGGCGGACGCACCTGAGCGGCACCCGGAATCACGCCTCGCCGCCTTAAAGTCTGTGCTATCTGTGCTGTTGTGTTGGTGTGTGTCGGGCTGTGAGCTGAAAAGCTACAGCCGGCTGTATGCATACAGCAACCATGTGTGAAAAGTGAGACATGCTGAAAAGCAGGTTCCTACAAACATCGTTGGGTCTCCAAGAGAATGACTGCAGAGTCCTCAACTGACCTTGAGGCCGGTGTCCTGGGCAGATTTGGCCCGGAGGTTGGGCACCGAATTGACAGAGACTGTGGATGAGAAACTGCACTGACCTGAAGACAAAGAGAAAATCACTCTAACAAATGAAAGTTCTGCTCTGCTAAGAAAAGCTCTCTGAAATGAATTTTTGCTTTTCTGACCTCCATACAAAGCAGCTGTTAGCTGGGACGATATGCTGACTATATCAGAAACCAATTTTGAAAAGGGATCACTGCTAGAACATGAGCCCGGTATCAGAAATTAAGAAAATGTAGATACTGTAGGTACACTGATGCTAAAGGTTGGTTAGAGAAAAAAAAAAACAACTGCCAAATTAAAACTAGATTTTGCATTTGGAGTGTTATACTCTAAGTGAGGGAAAATAAAATTACTTGTTTTCAGTTTATAATAGAGCTTAAATTTGTTTTTGCAGCTTTGAAGGTTTCATATGGCTAGCTCCAACAGTTATGAAGTTAGGGGCTCAAAAATGTACCACATTTCAACCCACCTTCCAGGGCCTTTAATTCAGAAACTTTTCATAGTATGAATTTACATTTTTTCATGAGCAATAAATAAGTCATCTGATTATGAAGAAGCCAGGTGGGAACTTTTGTCAGATCTGACTGATCTGGTATGGAAAGACCGGATAGCTATAGCTGTACCTTGTAACAGTGGTAGAAGGTCAACAACAGCCTGGCCCAGAGGCACTTGTCTTGGTTCATCATTCTTCTCCTCAGCCAGGACTTCTATCACTGTCACTGACCACCACAAAACCATATACATTAAACACAACAGTGGACATTTTTAGCAAGTTTGGTTATCAAGGAGATTCCTGTCACCAATTACACAAGGTATTCACAACAAAAATGTAATAAAAAAAAAAAGCAACAAAAAAAGTGTTGATCAAACTGAAAGAAAATAGAATGAAATGAACTGTTTCAGCTGCTGGTTAGTGCCATTTTCAGTTTCATCATATTATCAGAGACAGGAGAATATTTCAAATCTCGACTTACATACAATGGGTTTTTGGGCAATGTCACTGAGAGCCTGAGCGTCGTTTGGACAGCGGAAGATGCAGGTAAATTTATAGTCAATAAAGTCCTGCATGGGGTTACCCTGCTTCTCATCTGACTCTCCCAGCAATGTTCCATCAAACTCAACCCGCACCAAACTCTGAAAGCTGTCTCCTTTTTTTGATTGCTAAAAAGAAAAGTAAAGAAATACATAGCAAGCTGTAAACATTTGCTTAAGATTATATCACATTTTAAAATAAAGCTTTAATTACATTAAATTTACTTAGATACTTGTTGAAGAAGTAAAATGTAGTTAGCATAACATCAAAAGTATATTCCACCAGTCTCCATGTAAGCTATTAGTACCGCATGCTACCAAAGCCTTCTAAGACCTATAACTCGGGAAGTTGTTTGCTTTTATGCCTCTCTTTGGATAAGTCAATGTGAATTGAAACTAGAAAAGAAGACTGTGTGCTAAAAGCAGTTTTGCTGATAAGAAAACAACTGTTTATGAGATATGGGACTGAAAATATAGAGCGAGCTGACCTGCCCAAATACACATAAGCTAACTTTGAGTTTTCTAATTAGATCAATGATGGATGGTCAATGATGAGAATGAAAACTGACTGACATTTTACTATGACATTATTAAAATATAATTTTAACTTCAGTGCTTTACATAACTGCATACAATCTTGAACGAAATAATCTTGAACCAAGTGCTACTTGTGTTAAATTTTACTTTGATATTTGCCCATTTACTTGAGTATTTTTTTTATATATTTGGTGGTAAGTGGTGGTAAAAGTTATGTAACAATACAAGGAGAAAGAAAAAGAATAGCCACCTAAAATATTTGCAATTTTCTTTTTTTAACAAACACAATTCTAATTTCATGTAATGATAAAAAACCGAACCAATTAAAGAGAACAAGTTCATTGGGAAGCTCTAAAAAGCTTATTGAGAAGTCTTAAAACAATTAAACAGATATCCAGATATAGATATCCAGCAGCTCCATTTAAAAAGCAAACATTCCTCCAGTCATAAATAAATAAAGTTCAAAAGAGGGATACACAATACAATACAATAAAAGATTGCAAATGGACTGTTTCTTACATAGCACATTTCTACTCTACTTGCCATGTGCCTCATTCATACAAGCGCTTTTTAAAAATACTTTTTCCTCAAACTAACACGCACACACTGATGGATGATGGACTTTGGCTTCAATGCCTTTCCCAAGAACACTTTGGCATGCAGACTGGAACGTCCAGGAATTGAACTACCAACATTCCAAGTACTAGATTACTTGCTCACTGTTTTAATGGACTGATAACTAATAAATGGGTGGGGGGTGAGAGGACAGAGGGTACCTGCCAGCCATCAGAACGTGGAGAGGGTTTCTACTGTTGTCCATTATAGATGACTTCCTCTTCTCTATAAATTACATTCTCTATATATTTCATCCCTACATACTGTATATATGTACTGTACTGAATCGCACGAACATAAGGATGATGAAATCTACTGCAACAAAATTATAGCTACATATATAGCATGCTATATTCCTATACTGCACTCCAGGTTCTATGAATAAAGGAATATTACAGCTCTCTTAAGGTGAGCTATAATCTTTTACTGTCAAACAATAACAGCTTAGAAGTGAACACCTCAAAGTTTCTTTCGGAACTGCTGGACGGTAATGTTGGGTTATAAAGGTAATTTGTTGCTTCGTGAATTTTAAGGTAAAAAAAAACTTCATACACAACACGTACCTAGACTTCCGTTAGACTGTTATGCCGCAGTGTTAGCAAATTTCACAGGTTTATGGGGATCATTTCTAAGTAACGGCAAGTTGACTTACCAGGTCATTTCCACGGTTTATATGTATTTTTATACTCATGCTGTGTCTTTTCGTGTTTCCTGGAGCCTCCATTAAAGGTCAGTTTGTCGCACGGGGACGCGTTTCCATGGCAACGATACCTCTCGTCGCTCACAGGCGGCGGCTCTGATATGGTGGGTTCAACGTGAACTCGAAAATGCTGAACAATATACAACAAGAAGGGCAAAATTAACTTCAGATTCAAGTTTACTGTTACCAGTTCAGCGACGCGGTTGATAGGAATCTGTCCTAATGTGCTCATATATACCACAACACACAACAAAGCACAGCATGATACATGGATACATGTACTCAATCAACTCATAAAAGTAGTGCCCTGTTTCACTGTACCTGTCTTCAAAGTGCTTTTTTGTGAGAGGTTCAGCTAATATTATAATATTATAGTACACGAATAGCCTATTATGCATGTCATTACATGAATGCAGCGTCATTCAACGCAGATATCTTAGTCTTCTGCAAAGATATATTCAAAAACAAATATTAAAGAAATATCTTTCGTATTACAGGCAAATACTGCTTTTCACCCTCGGTGCATTACACATGTGAGAGAATCGATTTTGTACTCGCTTTTATTCAGGAAAACATTTAGGAAACATTTTGTTCTGTAATAGTACTAGTGAGACAGCAGGGGTCACTGCTCACTACAGGGGAAACATCCTGGTGACGCACTCGTTTTTAAGCTGTTGTGTGTGAAATACCTTGAGTGCATTCAAGGACTCTTAGCCATTTTCTGAGGGCGAGAACACATTTTATATTGGCATTGGGAGTTTAATTTGCTTTTTCTGTGTTCTTCCCATAAAACTGCAAAAATTTAATATCTCGAGCAGGATGTATCAAAAGAGACCGTTTTATATAGTTTTTGCAACATTAAAAAAAATATCAACACCATTTTGTTGCAGCGTTACAGCTCTTTATATAAGCTAAATTACTGATCACCTAAGTGGTCAGAGTTGTACTTTCATTTTATTTATTTATTTGTACATTTCATATGAATATATTTTCTTTTAGCGATTGACTAATGCTTTTCCCGTTTAGTGTAACGCACCGCGTATTTCGTTGGACAAATAAATAAAATCATTGCCTTGCTGGTAGTCCTCCGCGTCGCTAGCGGCGCTCAATCTCAGACCTCTACAGAGCTCAGCTTTCTACTTCCGGAAGCTTTATTATCAATGATTTTGTCACTTGAGAGAGATTAAACACTATTCTGGTGTTTGTCTTTTGTTTTTGTCAAAAATGTCCTACAATTACGTTGTAACAGCCCAGAAACCTACGGCGGTTAACGCCTGCATCACAGGTAAATCCGCGCTGTTTTTCGCCGTTGTGCAGTAAGGAAACATTTGCCACCTGCATGTTAGCTTTGCTCCCGCGCTACAACTAAAGTGCTCCAAACGGGCCTGTAGTAGCCGCTAGCTCTTGTTTTGCTATGTCAACGGTTTACTTGTCACATAGGTTCTGCTCGTTTGTATGCGTGTCTCAACACACACATCTCTTGTCACGTCTGCTTTAACATACACACGGCAGACGTTTTTTTTCTTGCTTCTTCTTTTTGATGTAACGTTAGCTGTGTCCTGCACGTCAGTTGCAGCGGATCAAAATGCGCTTCCTCTGCTCACAAACATTAGCATATCACACAGACTTAGTGCCCCACTTAAAACGAGTTATGCTAGATTACGTTTTCGTTCATTTGATTCACAAAAACCGTGATGCATTAAAGCTCATAGAGACGCTTATGCTGCTGTCTTTTTGTATTTCAGGCTAGACCAATAGGAATTCTGTCACATTAAAGTTACAGTTTGACATGCACTCGTGAAATGGCTGCGTAGGATGCATCATCTCTTCATGTTCACTCTCTTTTTATTTTTCATGGCGATAGTAGAGACCTCGAGATGATATGAGGTGACGAATTGAGATGAATGCTCACGTGTAATAGTCTAGACGTGAAATCTACTTACAAGTTACTTTTATTGTTAAGCAATCTGATAATTGATACTGCCAAGTGCAATCAGAGAGTAAAGATGTTTAAAGAACTTGCGAAATTACTACTTTTCATGGTAGGTCGTTGATTGTAGCACTGACTCTGACACAGTTACATTTGTTGGAGTAGATAATGGAATGAACCAGTTTGGCCAAGATATATTATTTTAGACCATTTTGAACACAAGTAACCGTTTGCGATTTTCCTTATTGTGATAAATTAGAACACTTAAGGAAGTTGGATAATTTCCTTGTAAGTTGTTTTTAAGCTGCTAAAGACTAAAGAAGACATTAAAAATCAGCAGTTAAGCTGATATGTAAATGTATTTGAGAAGCACCAGAATATTTATGCCCCAATTTAGTGATATTTGTGGACATTTTTAATTTCTCTGTGTGCCCACTACTCTCACATTAAAACCAGTGTATTGAACATAATGTAACCATTGTTTTTCTGCAGGTCACTTCACCTCTGCTGAAGACCTCAATTTGCTCATAGCTAAAAACACACGTTTGGAAATCTATGTGGTCACAGCAGAGGGCCTGAGGCCCGTCAAAGAAGTGGGCATGTATGGCAGAATTGCTGTTATGGAGCTCTTCAGGCCCAAGGTAAGGGGTTTTGTGTGCAGTCGGCAACACTTTGAATTATTTTTCCTGCTCGACTAGTTAGTGGTCTGGTTATTTAATATATATTTAACTGCACCATAAATGATTTGTACTGTGGTGTGTTTCTCAATCATCTACAAAGTAGGGTGCAAATTTTGCCTCTCAAAAATAGTGAAAGTCTGCACATTACAAATAGGATATGACACATGCAGGCACTGTCTTCTAATCGGGCTCACAGAGGCTGATCAGGTGTATAACATGTAACTCTGGTGCCTTTTTCCTCCTCATTCTTCAGGGTGAGAGCAAAGACCTGCTGTTCATTCTTACATCTAAGTACAACGCCTGCATCCTAGAATACAAACAGACCGGGGAGAGCATTGACATCATCACCCGAGCCCATGGCAATGTCCAGGTGAGACAACAACACTAATATTGTTATAGACATGAGCCACATTGTAAGGACATTCTATTTGTTATGGTGTGTTCATATGAAGGGCAGTATGTATTTTGTTCTTCTTGGTTGAATGCAGCAGTTCACTCATTTTTAGCTCCACTACATTCATATTAATAAATCTTAATTTAGACTGTTTTAAATTATCCATTTGCCATTTAAATTGGTAAACACCGTTAGGTAACATTTCAGAATTCTTGTATTCTTTAATGTGGTTTATATCAGTGACATTTTGGACTTCTTAGACTATAAAAGCTGGAAAAATGTAACTAGTTATGTGCTACATAATGTGATGCTTTCTCATACACTCCCAGTGCTAAACAGTTCCTAACCCAATGCTCTTTTGCAGGATCGTATTGGGCGTCCGTCAGAGACGGGTATCATCGGAATTGTAGACCCAGAATGCCGCATGATTGGCCTGCGGCTGTATGACGGCTTGTTTAAGGTGATCCCATTGGACAGGGACAACCGTGAGCTCAAAGCTTTCAACATCAGACTGGAGGAGCTCCAGGTCATCGACGTTCACTTTCTGTATGGCTGCCAGGCTCCAACTGTTTGTTTCATCTACCAGGTACATGAGCAGTACAGAATGTGGGAATGTGCCTTTAATGAAATGGGAAAAAAAGAATATGTTGAAAAATTCATATATCCGGGACATTTCTATTTAATTTATTTATTCCGGGAGAATGGTTTCAAGCTTATGGTAACTAAGCAATGCACAGTAGCAAAGTGCAATTAGTGACCAGTTTTATTCCATGTGTCGTGTTTCATAGGACCCTCAGGGACGCCATGTGAAGACCTATGAGGTTTCTCTGAGGGAGAAGGAGTTTAACAAAGGCCCCTGGAAACAGGAGAATGTGGAGGCTGAGGCTTCAATGGTGATCCCAGGTACTTCAACTATTTAACTCAACATGTAGCCGTGATAATAACGAAAACTGCTGTGTGAAAACACAAGGATGTGAGCTATGAATTGCTAGTTCATAAGTGTGTAAGTTTAGTTTACAAGTCGTGAATAATTTCAATTGTTGAATACATTTAACCCACAGCACTACTGATAACTGGTAATGCAGAGGATATTAGCTTCTGTGCTGTAAACATCTCCAAAATAGCAGAAACTTCCCAGAATAATCACTCTCTTGTCTGTGTTCTTGTATTTTAGTCCCTGAGCCATTTGGTGGAGCTATAATCATAGGACAAGAGTCTATCACCTACCACAATGGAGACAAATACTTGGCCATTGCACCACCCACTATCAAGGTAATGATAACAGATAGCACACTTCTGCTTTAGATATTTTGATCGTTCAGCTGTTCAAAAGAAGCTAGGTAAACATTTAAGTTGCAATAATGTAGAATTGAGTTAGGCTTCTAACAGCCACAGTCTAAGCACTGTAAGTCTCAGCAAATAGACTATTTCTGTACCAGGGGCAGTCAAAATAGAGTTAGTTGGTGAAGTCACTTGCAGAGCGGGTAGTAGTGCTCTATCACAAGTAAGTATCCTATATCTAATTCAGTGATGCATCAAAATAGCTGTTAGTATTGGGCTGATGGAAGCAAACTAATTAAATCGAGCTTGTCTGGGAACATGAGCCCAAATCTGAAGCTTGTGTATAAAACGGTGTGAAATCAAGAGTGTGATTGTAGAGCTGTCTTCAGAATCACACTTTGTAAGCATGATTGTTTTGTTATATTTTTTTAAACCCTAAGGTGTACATGTGCTTTCTTTTGTTATGACTCTTATCGGTGCTAAGCTTCCAATACCTCAGGGTTTTAGTATTATCAAGATTTAGTTGTAGTCTTTCTACTGGCATTTAAAAGAGCTCAAGGCCCAAGAGCCCCTCAACGGTTTCTCGCTTCTATAATTAGAGGTTGTTCTTTCCTCCCTCGCTGCTCTTTAGAAGAACATTTTCATGAATTACGAAAAGAAAATTCGAAATCATTCAGATTAGGAATCTTCTAATTACACTGTTTTCATTATCTTCATTTTAAAACAAATATCTTTGCTAGACATGTTGACTATCCTAATAATTAACTTATCTCCCCAATTTAAGGATGATTGATTATTGACTTTTCAGGGTTAATTTATAATTCAAACTTTTGATGAATTCACCCGTTTGGAAACAGGAAAGCTTGTTTGTCTTAAAAGTATATAGGTAATCACTTGATCATATATCTGCTGTAGATAGTCAGGGAATTTGTGATACATTAATAAGGAAGATGTACCAGCTATCGAAATATTAACATATATTTATCTCGTTATAGGTTAGGAATTTCACAGTGGGCTCACGTGTGGGCCCTTTTAAAAAAACAAAAAAAAACCCAGGAGTAATACAATAAGGCACACGTAGTCAGTAGTTGACCATGACAGTGGGCTTTTTTAACATTATCTCTGTTCAATTTGACTTCATTTATATAGCGCCAAACCACAACAACAGTCTTCCCAAGGGACTTTATATTGTAAGGGGAAGACCCTACAATAAAACAGAGAAAGCCCCACAAACAATCAGACAAATCCCTATGAGCAAGCACTTTGTGGCCGTGGGAAGGAGAAAACTCCCCTTTTAACTGGATAAAACCTCTGGCTGAACCAGGCTTAGTCTTTAGTCGGTGGCTCCTTATCCAGCCACTTCCCTATCATTTCCTTTTTACTGTCAATAAGTAATACTTTCGTAAAATATTTGTTTTGAATGTAATAATCAGGGAGTATATTACTTAAATATACAATAACAAAACTATTGTCAATCTCAAAACCTGATATGGTTGTGTTACTGTTTGTCATATCTGCTATTTTGTAGGAATTTTCTTTTTGGAGCAATAAAACATAAAATTCTTTCATGAATATTCTCTCCACTAGCTGCCATTTAATTCACATATTTAATCGATCGTCAACTGTTGGCGTGACATTTGCCTTCTGCTCCCATTTGATTTTGATGTATAAGGTGGAATATTTCATGAGAAATTGTATTCATGTATAAATTGTAGATACCTGTTTCTTGTGGATAGTGCCCCAAATAATAACAGTGCTCTTATCAGATTCCCCAATAGTTTTAGCATTTCTATAAAAGTGTTGCTTCACCTGTAAGTATCTAAACAAATCATGTATGTCTAAATTGTAGTTTTCACTGAGATGTTGGAAATTTTCCAACAAAGTCCCCAAGAAAGTTTGAAGTTTGCATCATATTTTACCCAACTAATTACCTAGATATTCATCTTCGGTATAGAACTTTTACATTTATTAAATCATATTAAATTACATCACTATTAAGTCAAATTTGAGTTTTATTTCTTTTTTTGATGTGGCCATAATTTAAAGAGTTTTTTAGATTCTTTGGGATATTAGCCCCCAGGTACATCATATTATTGGTATTCCATTTTAAATAGTATTTTTATTTACTTTTTTTTTTTTTTGATGAATAATCTGATTAAGATAGGCTTTGTACAGCGTCATGGGCCCTTTGTAGATTAAGAGTGCTGGCCAGTGACTTTGAACCACTATTGCTCATGATATCAACAAGTTGCAGTGCTCGCCTTACATTGTCTTGCGTGAAAATCCTGTTTTTGTTTTCTGTTTCCAGAATCTGTCAAATATTTTCTGGTCTTTTTGGAATTATTCAAGTAAATATTCTATAATATGTGATCTAGAAATGGGTCTGTATGACCTACTCTGTTCCCTCTTTCCCCTTCTTTGATCGCTGATATTATGGCCTGTTTCCATAATGATGGGTTGTTTCTACCATTCTTCTACAACTGAGCATTGCCACTCCGCTTGGAAGTTTGTTTGTTTTATTTCAAAATGTGTTTTTCTTTTTTTTACCAAGTTTACTGTTTTTACTGGATTTTGTAGTCTGTTAACATCTATTTGTATAATAACACAACATTTTAAAGGTATAGGATCAACGTGAAGGAGGAAAAAAAACTACAGTGGTCCCTCACTATAACACGGTTTTGCTGTTTCACAGATTTTTTTTGTGCAATTTCGCATGCTTTTTTTTTTTTTCAGGGGGTTTTAACAGCGCATTGTGTTCAGATTGTTCAGTGCACCAGATTATAAGGCGCATTAGTAAAACAAAACAGTCAGATAAGTTCCAACTTTACTTCACTCATTCTTTTTGCTTCCTCTACTTCTGTACCATTGATTCATTAATGTTGAATTCTCTGGCAGCTGCTCCATTCCCATGTTCTGGACCTGAAAACAGGGTTTGATCTTTGGTTTCATTCTATTTCTGGACTTATTTTTCTACGAAGGTTTGAACTTTGAGAGAGTTTAAACAAGAGAGATTGTGGGAAAATGTTCCCGCCTGTTTGAGAAAAGTGCATAAAGTGTGTAGTGAGGGGTTTTACAGCCTTAAAACATCTATAATAATTGTAAAAAATAAAGCTGGCTACTTCGCAGATTTCACCTATCGCAGGTTATTTTTATAACGTAACTCCTGAGATAAATAAGGGACCACTGTACTTCCAATTCTCCCTGAGAAAAGGTCCCGCTGTACAGCAGAAATCCTGGAGCTCTCTCTGGATACTTTCTTGGTGTTCCTGGCCCTGGTGTGTCATCTCACCCATGATGGCATGAGCCTCATTTCTGGTATTGTCCTCTATCACTCCCCTTTTCCTGACATTTTATTGTTTTTAATTGCATTGCTTGGCACTTATTAGCTGCAGCGCTATCACTGGGATACACTTTACTATCATATTCATAACTAACCAACATTGTTCAAAGTATGCTGTCCCTTTAGCTTTTTTCCCCTTGATTATTTAGTTGATGTCAGATTATAATAGAAGCAAAAATGGAAAAAGAAGTAGTAACTGTATCAGTACCACCACAGACATTTTAAGAGAGAAATTTTAGTCATATAATCCTTTGGTGAAAATGATAACATCTAGGAGAAAAGGGTTTTTTAAAGCAATATTTTTAACAAAGGACAGGAAACATTTAAATCAGTTTTTCATGTTATAGAGGAATCAAAGTTCATGTAATTCATTCTTCAAAATAACTGCTCAAATAAGTCCGTGGGTTTGTTTCAGGATGGATTCCTTGTTGCAAAATCTGCCTCTAAAATGACTTTGGAACCATATGAAAATTAAGTTAACACCTCAAATGAAAATGCAACACAATGGTGGCTTCAAACACAGATTCCTCTCATGTCTTATCAATAGCTCAAAACATCCTCCAGACCTACTGATCTGTCAGGGTTTTTTCCCTCTCTAATTCAAGCTCTCGTGTCTTCATTACTACAACTGCACGGTAGCATTGTCCAGCTTTTCTAGTGTTTGAATAGGAACAGGTAATAGGAAAGTTGTTAAGTGATCATTGAAGCCACATTTTTTTTAATTTGTTTTTTTTTTTTTCACCTAATATGTTATTTGTATTCAGTTCAAACACACTCCTTTCAAAAGTATCAAGAAAACACAGAGGCTTATCCTTTGATGTATAACAGAACTGTTTTGGCAGCTAATTAATAAATTGTCACTCTGGAGCACCAAAGTGAAAAATGAATGTGGAACACCAAAGCTTCTGCCAACACGGAGGTCTGCTGAAAATGTCTCAGCTCATCTAGGGCATTACAGTAGCTGGTGAGGAAGTAGACTGGTTTCACATGTCAGAGCTAACCAGCTAATTACCTGCCATTCAGTCAAGAGGAGTCCACAAGTTTGCAAAGCTGTGAAAATAAAAGTTTTTGACAAAAGTTTTAAGTAATGCTACAGGCTGGGTGATTGCGAAAATGAGTTTTGTAAAGGTTTGATCAAGTGAGAAATTGACTCTGCATATACAGCAGTCGTTGACAATAATAATATCTCCTTTTGAAAGAAAGTAACAGAAACTCGGTCACACTACGGGAGTTAAATGCCAGCTTTAATCTGAAGTATTATTTGAATCTCCTAACATGTTTTGGTGCTGCTCAGTTTTGTTTAGAGTAAGAATTTTTGAAAAGCTCAATGCTGAAAGCTGAAAACGAGCCTCAAAGTGAAGGCACTGTAAAATATTTTACAACAGCCTCAGTTGATAGTCCTTTCCTATACCTTTTCAAAGTTTAGAAAGCATATTTTAAACAGCATGATACATTATGACAGCAAACACTGATAAGACAATATAAGAGTGGCATTACATTATTGTACGAATGGCTGATAAATCAGTCGGCTTCAGATTACTCCTGGGGAATATTAGCATATCAAAAATACATCAGTGACATGATATTTCTCTACAAGCATACAAAATATGTGTTTAGAAATACTGTTGCTATTGCAAAGTTTGTCCAACAGAGAGCACTGACAACTTAGTTTTCCAGCTTCCTTCTCTGCACATGTATTGCTGTGCAATATCTATGTGTAATTTAAAAGATCTGTTAAAGTAACATGAAAGGTTTTTGCAATGTACCTAAAATGGTGTACACATAATACTGAATTCTTTAATACTCCAAGAAGTGCTTTGGTGGTGGAGCACTGCTACTTCCCTGCACACACAAATATAAATAGTTGACTAATGGTTGATTTGCTAAAGCGTGGACCCTATTAGAATCAAGCTTTTATAGGTGTTGGCTGACCACTGTTGGTCATATTGTGTTTGATGTGTTTGTGTCTTGCTCTCGCTTACAGCAAAGCACCATTGTCTGCCACAACCGCGTGGACCCCAATGGCTCACGGTACCTGCTCGGTGACATGGAGGGACGTCTCTTTATGCTGCTGTTGGAGAAGGAGGAGCTAATGGACGGCACAGTGGTGCTCAAAGACCTGCATGTGGAGCTGCTTGGAGAGGTCTTTCATTTCTCTTTTTCTTTAGGCCGAAGTATTGCTGGCTGTCTTCCATCTGTTTATCCACCTGCCTTTCCTCGGGCATTTCTCCCATCACTTTCTCACTACCTGGCTCAACGACCCTCTCTGTTTCTTTCTGATTTTCTTACCGCTGCTTTTTGTTCTCATCATCTCTGTGCTGTCTTTTGTTACAATTGACTTTTTAGTGGTTTATGCCCCTGAGCTAATGGATCTGTCTACACTTGCACAGAAGATAAGAACAAATTATCTCACCTCTTTGTTGCTTGCTTGCCAGGCTGTCACTTATCCCTTTAAAGTTGATTTAGGTAATGATTGTATTTCAATACTGTGCTTGAAGCTAAGGCTCATGTTCAAGGCAGACGACATTTGGTTTGTAGCACCTTTCTTTAATTACTTTCTGAGGAGTTTAGAGATGGAAAAGGCTTTCCTGCTAGTCTTCTAGTTTTACTCTAGTAGTGCTTTTGAGTTGGGAGCTGTTTGCTTTTTAGATTATTATAAAGTCTACTGCTATTAGGACAAGTCTGTTCAATAAACACGTAGGAACAGCTGTATGTTAAAATGTCAGACAGAACGCTTTATTAATTGCAAGTCAATATGTCTAAAATCATGTACACAGTGATGGGTAAATTTAATAACAAACATTGTTTGTTTTTACATTACTTAGATTTACTGACATTTAATTATGAAATACAATAATTCAATTTTTAAAATCTTTTCTTTTTACACTTTACATGAATAACTTTTGTCTGCCAAAGTTATTTTAATTTTCTAGCTGAACAGTCGTGCTTTAAGTGACCTTTCTGATCCTCCTGTTAGAGGATTATACTTGGGGGGGGAAAAAGGGTTTTTTTATCATCAGGTTAATTCTTTTTTTTATTAATGATTTAATGTGTAAAAGGTCAAAATCTTTAATTTCAGATGGAAAAAAAATATCATTATATTTGTGACTTTTCTTTTTTTTTTTTTTAACTAAGTTCTGACAATTATTGGTAGAGGATTAATCAGCAAAGTCATTTTCATATTGATTAAAATGTAACTGATTGTAAATTGCAGCCCCACTGTGCTATGATCAAGAGGCTGAAATGTTTGTGTGTCCCTTCACTGACAGACATCTATTGCTGAATGTTTGACCTACTTGGACAACGGTGTTGTGTTTGTGGGCTCTAGATTAGGCGACTCCCAGTTAGTAAAGGTAAGCAGAAAGAGTCTCGTTTTTTGTTTTTGTTTTTTGTTTTTTGTTATTGAAAATAACTTTGAACACACTGGTTTTTTTCCTCTGGTTAAAAAAAAAAGGTAAACTAAGTTAAAAGAAGTTAAACTTTTAGTAGATGTGTGTAGAAATGTGTGATAAATCCTGCAGTGTTTTTCATACCTTGTTTTAAACAATGGAAATACTTAATGAACTGATTCAGAAATTAATTTTGAAAATTAATTTTTTCCCTCGGTTCTTCATTATTCTGCTCTATTATTTTTATGTTTGCATTTTGGTTTACTAAATTTAAATATAATAAGCAAGTATAGTAAATAGTGAATTAATAACCTCCAAAATCATTGTAATTTGACATACTGTGTGCGATTTTCGGGGAAATTGTACAGATTACATCCTTTGTAAAGACAATTTTGTTTATTTGCAGCTCAACGTGGACAGCAATGAGCAAGGCTCATACGTGGCTGTGATGGAGACATTCACCAATCTGGGCCCTATTGTGGATATGTGTGTGGTTGACCTTGAGAGGCAAGGCCAAGGCCAGGTAAAATCCACAAGCTTAATCCTTTATTTCTAGAAAAAACAGAGCTTCAGAGCAAATAAAGGCTACATCACATATTCAGTAACAAAATCAAATTAATTTTTTTGGGTGGGGGTGTTTGCTAGAGAGTTTATATGTGACATGGTGATTACTGAAAACCCTTCAAGCAGACACTGGATACACTTGCCTTATGTTGAGTCTCCCTCTGAGTTTTCCTCCTTATTATCATCTTTGTCACAGCCTTCAGGGAGTCTCGGCTTATACCACCAATGCAGCGATTTCGAGGGCCATGTTAACAGTGTTCTTCTCAGCAGAATTGAGCTTGTAATGCCTCAGAGCACAAACTTGCAAAAGCCAGAAAATCTGCGTACAGTGCACTCAGGAGATTCCTGTGAGCTTTGTATGTAATGTGGTTGTTCTTCTTATGTATGGTTCCTTTTTTCACCTAGCCGAGTCTAGATGTTGGTTAGCTGGTCTGCAGTTACACTGGATGTTAAAATGCACCTCTGCTACACAAACCTAAATTGGTTTTCTTATTCCATTGCACAAAGCCAGATTGCTGTGAATGTAATTTCCTCTAATAATATTTACACCCTTTCAAACTGACGGTGAAGACCCTGTCCCTGTCTGCATGTATCCCAACAATCCATCATCTTCAGCACTTGTGTGTGCTTAGTTCTGTTTACCTTGAGCAGATATCAAACCATTTGTATTCGGGATACGATGTGATCTAGCTTGTACTGCATGGTAATGCCAGATTTAAAATGGAGCCACAAATCCAGAAAATGTTATCTTATTTCTCAAAATATAATGCTTATGTTAAAATGCAACCATCTTTTGGCATGTTCTTCAACACATAACTGCAGGTATCTGCTACAAAAAAAGACACAAAAAAAACCCACCCAATTTCTAATTTGAACATTTGTCCTCCTTTGTGTTGAATCACTGGGGCACAGGGAGATGCAGAAGGTTTTGTTGGCAGAGTTTGACACCAGGCCTCAGGGTATTTGATGTGGTTCCAAAGGCAGTGGTCCACTAGAGCACTGAGCCACTCTACTGGGTACAGACGAGCGCAGCATCAGCCACTGCCTGCATTCATCCATTCTCTCTAATTCAAGGGCCAGAAATAAATCCAGTCACAATTGTTTTAATTTGCCATTAGCTGCAAATCTGGAAAACATTTGACCTGGTTAATTAATGCAAACACATTGCAACGCAGTTAAGATGGCAGAGGATTGACGCACATGGCGCAGGAGAAAATATAACACGACCTCTCTCAGATAAATCATAATAGGGGTTGTGCTCATGGATGTGCAACAGAAGAAAAGGCAGTCGGCCCCATGAGAGTGTGGCTTAGTGTGTGAGGGCATTCGAAAACATGCTCAAGGGAGCGAGGTGGGTTGCCAAGATCATCATGACTGTTTCTATTGGGAGGAAACTGTTGGGTGGCAGGTGGTAGACGCTGAGATTATGCAGGCTCTGGTATTAATCCTGTTAGTGTACCATGACTGGATGCATAAATAACATTCTGGTGCTCTCCAGTCATACTGTACAGGCAGTTATTTACCTTCAGGCTGCTGGATCTCAACAGCGTGATGTTTATAATGGCAGTCTCAGAGACGCTCCACTGTGAGCCAGTTCACAATTTCTACAAACTACATTTTAGTTGTATTGATGTCTGCTTTACTATCGAAACCGTATAAGAAGGATTTCTGCACTTTTATGACTTTTTATGACAAGTACTTAAACTAGGTCTTTTAGCATTAATGATAATAATGTGTCTTGACTGAATTTTAACCAAAATACTAACATTTGGGGGGGTTTGTTTGTTTGTTTTAAACTGCTTTCTCTTGGCACTGAAGCACTCATTTAGTACAAAATCTTTAAGCTATGAAATTGTTATTTTTTGTTTTTGTGTTCCTGCCCATTAATACCGTATTCACAAAGAACAAAAGTATTTAACTATTTCAGAGTCTTTTATGTCTTCATTACACTGAATTTGAACCTTTAGCTACCACAGCAGCAGATGGATATCTTTTACTGACTACTAATTGGCTCATAACATTCAGCACACCCAGTATTAGCCAATCCCAACTTAAGGCTGATATATCTGTGCATCCCTAATGTTATCACGTTTTACAGTTTGGAAACTAATGGAGAAAATTAATCGCTGATTAACTGAATAGTTATAACAACAATGCAGTGAGCAAGTTAATTGCTGGGGTCTTTGAAACATGAAGACATCGCTACAACATAGCCATATTATTTAAATGACTTCATTTGGGAGTAAAATGGTATGACTGACTGCTCATGTTTCTTGTCCCATTAGTCATGTCCTTGAGTTCAGATCTTTGCAGTTTTTGCTCACTCCCTTGTGATTAGTGACTGTAATGGACAGTTTTGTTACAGATGTGAATGATGTGTTAGAATATATAAAAAGTTATAGATTGTGTGAAAGGATTTATTCTTTACAAAAACATGATAGTTGGTTGGAAGCAGAAATAAGGTGTTGTTTAATTGACAAAAAAGGGGGAGGAAAGCGACATATCTCAATCTTTGTCTTAATGTCTCTCTTTGGTGCTTTCAGCTGGTGACATGCTCAGGTGCATTTAAAGAGGGCTCTCTTCGGATAATCCGCAATGGCATTGGAATTCATGAGCATGCCAGCATTGACCTGCCAGGAATCAAAGGTTTGTGTGTTTTGTGTGTGTAAGTCTGTGTCTCATCAGCCATCTCCCTCTCGAGCCTTGACTTTATTTGGACCTTAATATTCTACTGACTTCAGAGTAGAGCCACTTCACCCCGCACATCTGTTTGCCTCTGCTGGCCAAGATGCCAGCTGTTGCTCATTCAGGTTTGGCACGTGAACAGGAACAGATGGCTCCAATGTCATAGGTCTTCCCTCTGCACTTTCTAAATAACAGGAACATTGCCAAGGTTTGGTTTGGAGGCATTTGTTTTAATTTAGAAAATCAAAGTGCTCTGCAGTGTCTGCTATGGTAAGCAGACAATTTTAGGAAGCTCGTCAGGTTTTAACGACAGCAGACACCTCTTAATCCCAGAAAATTAGGTGTCTCTCAAAGGACTCTTCTCCGGTGCTTGAATGAGACACACAGGCCAGTTAAGGTCTGCTCACACTTGTTAGTTTATAGCTCTTTATCGACCATCTATGCCCTAAAAGAGTTAGCTGCTGGCTCTTGCCCCTGGCCTCTTTTATGAGAGGCAATTATTTACTTAGATAATCAATGGCTCCTCGAGAGTGATTTGCAACCTGTACATCCTCCAACATGTTAACATTTGACAAATGGAATAGTTTAACCGTCTTGATATTGCATTTCTTTTATTTCTTTGCAAATTGGTGCTGAAAGTAACTTTTTCAGTCTAACACTCTCAAATTCCCTTCAAGGTCTGTGGCCTCTCCGCTCTGAGGCAGGCAGAGAGACAGATGACATGCTGGTGCTGTCTTTTGTGGGTCAGACACGGTGAGCGTTTGTGCAGAATGCCAGATAAGGACAGGGTCAATTTTGAAAATGCGTATCTTATCTCAAGAGTATGTTTTCCCCCCCAGAGTGTTGATGCTGAGTGGTGAGGAAGTTGAGGAGACTGAGCTTCCAGGCTTTGTTGACAACCAGCAGACATTTTACTGTGGAAATGTGGCACACCAACAACTTATTCAGGTTTGTATGCACACATGCACATATCTGTTATATATAAAGTACGGGGTCTGTTCATGCTTTGGAAAGTAAGAATTCGTTTCACAAATTCTAAATTAATTATTCAGCTGTGGCCTTGTGCCATTTAATAACATATCTTTTGGCGGAGCTGAATCATGCATGATTAAAAGGGCCAGTTCTGAATGTGAAGAGTTCAAAAAGACTTCATGTATTTTATACTTAATATAAATATTTTACTTCATTTAATCTCAAGTTTCATCCTCCCTTTTGGAAATGTGGATGAATCCTGCTGGGAATTCTGCCAAATGTTACACCCTCAACCATTAATCTTTAGGTTATGAAAACTCTGCTCGTATTTCAGTGCTGGGTTTTTTTTTACTAACTCGTACACTTCATGTGTTTATATTGAATACATTTTGACGTTATTATCTGACTGAGTGTTGCTACGCCACTCATTGTTTTGGCCCTTCAGTTGAGTTTTCCTTACGTTTGCATTAAAGCCACCAGTGATAGAGGGGTTGTCCCGAAAGGACACTACAACATAGTATTAGATGGCACTGGTGACATGAGACATGAGAACACTAAAGACTGTGTTAATTTTTAGTGGTAGTGTCCAAATTTGAAAGTTTGTAAAATTCACATTAAATATTGCTGTAATAGGAAATTGTCAACATAGGATTATTATTTACCTAATTACTCGGTGTGCCATGAACATGCTCATAGCACTAAACTCAGAATGAATGGCTGACTTGGTACCTATTTGCAGCTTTTAGCCTTATTTTAGCTCATTAGTTTTGGTTCAACATCCTGCACAAAGGCCATGTGCTTCGCTGCTCTAATTAATGTCACAATAAAAGCTCTAGGCAGCTGATTCCAGTAAACAAGCTCAGACAAGCCAACTATGCACTACCATACTTACACGAAACTGCAAAAAGTCTGAAAAAGGAGCTGGTAAACAATGCTGATATTTCTCTCAGAAGCAGTAAAACACCACATAAACACCTAAAAGTGGCAACAAACACAGTTTCAGAGGGATGCTTATGTTGTCTATTTGCCATTGCAAACACCAGTATGATTAACCATCATATCATACATAGGTAGTTTCCAAAGGGGTGCACTACAAAGCAAGACTGGGTTAGCGAGCTTTGTCAATCTTAAAGTCAGATTTTCTGTGTTACAAAAGTGGCTCTCTTTATACGTGGATGAACCACCGCTGTAACTTGTGCCTAATTCATAATTTGGTTGGATAGCTTTGTCTCACGCTTTCGTAGATTATTTGCAGCATGTTTTAAGGTCAGTAAAGATTCTCTTCATTTTATTTGTCCAAGTTGTTGAGCTGTACATTACTAACATCACATGAAGCTCAACCGTGAAGTTACAACAGTGCAAACTTTGCATTATTCTCTCACTGGAATGTCCTTTTAGTTCATTAGGTAATTTTAAACAAAGTCTAAATGTTGTTATACTTGATGCTAATCTACTGCAATTCCAAAAGTTCCACTTGGAAGTGCAGATGCTATAACACAGAATACACAGCTCTCTAATGTGCAACCATCACATTAGTAATAAACAGCAGCACTGAGCACACTTAAAATGAGCATAAAATAATTCACTTATATACTGTTCCGTGCACTAAATCCCAACATTATTTTCTGCAGCATTAATTTGCCGTTGTATTTACAACAGTGTTGCATTTTACTGCCGTGCATGATTAATTTATTTATTTTTTCTTCTCTTTTTCTTATCAAACTGTATTTGTGCTGCAGCGTGAGGTTTTGCATTGTCTAAACAGTGCACTACCTTCACTTCTTAAGGTTTATACCTGCTGCAGTCTGTAATTAGGGCTTCTTCAGCTCCTTTGTCCTGTCTTGCTTTTTCACTGCTGTATAGTAGTACTCCCCTTTTACAATACACCATTATATTTTAAACATTGCATTTGTCTTGCTACCTAACCTCAGGGACTTTTGTGGGATGTGAAATACAAATGCAATGAAATGAACCGTTACAACAATAGTAATATCATTACTATATGTTACAATGACATTTGGTTTTGTTGTTTCACAAAAGTGATTTCTGGGAGCAAACAAATGGCAGCCATTCATCCTTCATGTTTCTTTTAATCCTACTATATTTCTTGACATTTGTATTGTAGTTAAACTGCTTTATTTTCTACAAAATGATTTTGCTTTATTTTCTAATAAGCATGTTACTGAAGCCTTTGCTTTGTCTTCATTTGTTTTTATCTTGCTTTTATCTTTTATCTTTAAGTCTAGCATCAGCTCTATAAGTATGAATGGAAGTGTTTTAAAGCAGTCTTAGCATCTGATATGTTAACGGTGCTAAATCAGTGGAATTCATTAGATGGGAAATTTTATGTAAAAAATTAGAAGGATGAAACCTCTTTGGTTTTTCATAGATTAAGATATTCTGTGCAATAAGATATTCTTTAAAATACTTTCTAGCTCACAGTTTCTTTGTCATCTGTGGAAACACCAAATAACAAATAATGTTTCTCCAGATCACATCAGGCTCTGTGCGCCTGGTGCTTCAGGACAGCAAGACGTTGGTGAGTGAATGGAAGGAGCCACAGGGCAGGAACATCAGTGTGGCTGCGTGCAACCACACCCAAGTGGTGCTTGCTGTGGGCCGAGCCCTCTACTACCTGCAGATCCTAGCTGGAGAGCTCAAACAGATCAGGTAGGACAAAAATGGGGACTTATTAACATTTTTTTTTATTCACTGTTAAAACCCACTGCGCATCTGTAACCAGAAGGCCGCCGGTTCGATCCCCGGGCTCTCTGTCCTGGTCGTTGTGTGCAAGACACTTTACCCTACCACCTACTGCTGTTGGCCAGAGGGGCCGATGGCGCGATATGGCAGCCTCGCTTCTCTCAGTCTGCCCCAGGGCAGCTGTGGCTACAACCGTAGCTTGCCTCCACCAGTGTGTGAATGTGAGAGTGAATGAATAGTGGCATTGTAAAGCGCTTTGGGTGCCTTGTAAAGCACTATATAAATCCACTCCATTATTATTATTATTATTATTACTTCCAGTCTTTCCACAAAGCCAACTGGCTGCTCATTTAGCTGCATAATTATCATGGAAAGCCTTAGTGAGCAAATATGAGCAGCTTGCGAGTTCACAAGCATGTCCAATGTCCAATCTCATCATTTTCACTGGGACCTCGATACAGATTCACTTGAGCAATAAAGCTATATACTGCAGTTAATGCTATTCAGTTATCTGAGTGCAGAGACTTAAATCTTGTCCTATTAATAAAAAGTGAACTCTTAATTCAGGATGTTGGGCTCAAATGTTTCGTAAAGAAATTTCTATATAACTATTAGACTACTTTCACGTTATTTGAATATTCAATATGATACATTTGACTGCATATGCAATGCCCAACAGAACAGAGGTATGGAAGCTTATTAACAAAGGTTAATTGACTCTATCCCCAGTAGTTCATTAGTCTCACAGTTATGTTTTTTTTATTTTTTTATTTAATATATGTTGCAGGAGGATAGTGGAGTTACTTTTTATTGTTCTTTCACGTTGCTGCTCTGGTTTCCTTGTATGACTGTCTTTTGGCCCTTTTGCAGTAATGTATGTACTATTTCACAGTAGTTTAGAAGAGAAGGATGCACAGTTGTAAAGCTTGCCACCAGGGCTGCTTGAGGAACACTGTGTTTGTTTGCAGTGGGTGTTCGTAAATGATGAAACGGAGACAGAGGGAAGAGTCTTAAACGGAGGCTTTGAAATAATGTTTGGGCTGCATCAATAAGCAGCTGGTTTGCTGTGTGCGTCACAAAAATCTGTGTAAACCAGAAAGTCACTGTTGGCTTAAAGGTGTGTACAGGACTCTAATGCTCTCCTCTAATATAATTAAAGTGCGAGTACTCACCTTGGACAGTGATTATCCATTATATTTGCATTGTTGAGTAGCCTTGTTCCATTACAATGCAGTTCATTGGCCATTTTAATTAAAAAGTGAAAAGCTTCTTTTCTTGTCATTTTATTCAAAGCTTTCTTTGTAGTAATGACCAATTTAGATGTTTGACCTTCGTTGTACAGATTGATGTGTGATACTAAAAGGCTGTTTTTTAAAATAATTTTAATGACAGTGAATTAAAGATTTTATACCAGGGCATTTAACTTGATGTCCTTTATAATTTAAAGCTTAGAATATTTTCCATCTTCAAAATTGTTTCTATGTTTAGATCCGCTTATCAAGTTTAGCAATAGACATTTTAAAATGATTTAAAGAAAAGGCCTCTTGTGGCATCTGTAATTTTATATTTCCACATTGATGCTGTATGTCCTGATGTTGTGCTTTTACTCAGCAAGCATATACACCCACACTAATGGGGTTTGTCGTTAAAGATATATATTTTCAGCAGAGCATAAACAAGGAAGGTAAACTGTATGACTGACGCTCATCTTTGAGAAGGAAGTTTTGTTGTTGGAGTTCACCCCATGTCTGCAAAGTTGGGTATTCCAACTTTCTCCTCCAGTCCAAAGGCATGCATGTTAGGTTAATTTGTGATTGTGAATGTGAGAGTGAATGAATAGTGGAATTGTAAAGCGCTTTGGGTGCCTTGAAAAGCGCTGTATAAATCCAATCCATTATTATTATTATTATTATTATTATTATTATTATTATTATTATTATTATTATTATTATTGACCTGGTCAAAATGTACACTGCCTCTTCCTCTACAACACCAACCATTACTCTGAATTGAATAAGGTTGGTTGTTTGGTTGTCTGGCAATTTTAGCTGGTGTTAAACTGACTCATACTTATCAGTGTAACATTTCTCAGTTTGTATCTCACATTGAGGAAAAATTGATTAGAACTTCTTCTCCGTGTCAGTAACACAAT